AAGAAATGTATTTTAAACGTGTCAGTGTGAAGAAGACTCAATGAGAAGAACATGTATCTAAATGAAGTAAAAGGGAAATGCAGGACTGGGGAGTTGTGCCATATAGATTTCTAGGCTGAAAGGGACCAGCTGTCCTACTGCACTTTGTAGGCCTCAAAACCTTACCCACCAACTGGTAGGCTCATAACCTCCAGCTGAGTTACTGAAGATTTCCAGGTATAAAGAATCTACCATTTTAGTTCAACTAGGGCTGTCGAGCAATTAGAAAAATTAATTGCAGTTAATAACAGTGTTTAACTATAATAGAATACTGTTGATTTAAATATTTTGATTTTTTCAAATATTGAATTCCGTTACAACACAGACTATAAAGTGTACAGTGCTCATTTAAAATTTTATTACAGATATTTGCCCTGTAAAAGAAGAAACAGTATTCCTATTCACCTCATACAAGTACTATAATGCAATGTCTTGAAAGTTGAACTTACAAATATAGAATTTTTTTACATGACTTCACTCAAAAATAAAACAGAGTAAAATTTTTACAGCCTGCCAGTGCATTCAGTTCTACTTCTTGTTCTGCCCTGAGAAGCATGTTGATTTATTAAAGGGGTCTCATTTTTTTATCTCAGAAAGTCAGCATTCTCAGATGCGAGTTGTGCAGGAGAAGGTGAATTCTTAGTCCTGCTCCTGTTGGGTTGGGCTTATGAGCTCTCCTGGATCACCTCCTCTCCAAAGAGAGTTTCACCTTAGAAATTCAGTGTTTGGGGAGGCTGGGCTAGAGAGTAAGAGGTGGGTGCAGGAGGAAGGTTAGGAAGGAGTCGTGCTGCTGCTTCTAGTACTGGGCTCGCCTCCTTTTACTGAGCGAGGTGGGTTCCCTTTAGCCAAGTGAGGCCTTGTTTGCAGGGGAGAATGGATTTTACCTCAGGGCCTAGGCATGCAATAGGGAAGAGAAGTTGGTGCAGGAAGGCTGAGCTTGCCATGCGCCTATTTTCTATGGGGTATTCCCCTACCTCCGAGTATGAGCCCGGCCAGTGACAATGGAGCACAGGTTTAGGGGTGTCCATCCCTGGAGCAAGAGGATGGCCAGGTCATTGAGGTGTAGGACAGGAGATGTCATCCCCAGCCACTCCTCATTCTGGGGACTAATGGAAAGAGCATGGGAGAGGGTGATCCCTGGAATAAGAGGCCAGCCGGGGGAGTGCTGTGGAGTAGGTCAGGCATTACTATTACTTAACAACCCTAGTTCAAACCAATGAGTGACCCAGGCTGTACATGAAAACCTCCAGAATTTCTTCCAAGTTGATCTGGGGGGAATTTCCTTCCTGACCCCAGATATTGTATCTGTTAAATCCTGAGCATCTGAGAGAAACCTGCCAGCAAGACATCAAAGAAGAAATTCTTTGTTGTAACTCAGAGCCCTTCCCTTTAGTGTCCTACCTTTGCGCATTGGAGACATTTGCTAATACAGTAAACTTCCAATAATCCGGCACCTTTAGGACCCAGGGGGTGCCTGATTATCAGATATGCCGGACTATCAGAAGGGGGGGCTATGAGGGGTCTGGGGTGGGGTGGGGGGATGCTACCCCAGACCCCCTCATAGCCCCCCCTTCTGATAGTCCAGCTCTGCCCCAGGAGTCCCTGATTCAGCCGCTGCTGGTCAGTTTCAGCAGCGGCTGAATCAGGGGCACCTGCAGCACAGCAGCTGGGGTGCTGCTGGGTTGGTCCGGTAGCGCTGACCCTTGGTGCTGCGAGACCAACCCGTCAGCACCCCAGCTGCTCTTGGGGAAGGCCGGGGCAGAGCCGCCGTGGTG